CGCTCTTGCCAACATTAATTCTTATAAGTCATTTAAACCGGGCCTTGTTCCCTTATCTCTAAAAATGATCAGGTGAAATGTGTTAAGATCTTTCCAGATCAAAGAGTTTGATTCCATAAATAAAAATATATAAGTATTTGTGGTTCTGAGTTTATGTATTTCTTGTATGTTATTTTTCCCTTTCAGTAGCAAGAAAATTTCCCTGGAAGCATTTACTTTTTATTTTTTTAAAAAAGATTTTATTTATTTATTTGAGAGAGAGAGAGAGAGAGAGAGCATGAGCAGGGAGGAAGGACAGAGGTCAAGGGAGAAGCAGACTCCCTGCTGAGCAGGGAGCCTGACGTGGGACTCGATCCCAGGACGCTGGGATCATGAACTGAGCTGAAGGCAGACACTTAACTGAGCCACCCAGGTGCCCTCCCTGAAAGTATTTATTAATGTAAGCAATTGCACTAATAAAAAAAAGAAAAAACTTACATTTCACTTAATTTTGATAATAAAATAACAGACAATTCTCTAGTACGACTGTTTTCCAGAACGGTACCCACAAATTCTACTTTTTAAAACACTTTTCAAGAAGTGAGGAACAGAGAAATTTATTTGGTATTTGTCCCAGATATCTGTAGTAATTTGTTTTCATTCATGCATATAAGCAAGTGTTTACAATGAAATATCGCCAAAGGTGGCTATATGCCCTGCTCTCTGCAACCTTGTTCAAATTTGTTTCCCAAAAAGAATAAGAAATGTAACAGTCTTCTTAATTTTCCAAGGATACTTGCTGTTAACTCTTTGAATGTTTTTATTTAGACAGTGAATTTTGCTTGTTTTTTAGCATTTTATCAAAATGCTTTATTCTATTTTTAACTATTTATTTAATTTACTAATTTCATTAATTATTATCTTATTTAATAAACAGGGAACCAGAAATGACTACATATAAAGGGATTTATATTCTTGCCTCAGTAAGGGAGATTATCTCTTTTCCTCTGATTAGTCATGAAGAGGCAAATTTAGCAACAACCAATCATCCACTCTAATACCTTAAAATCCCTTAGATTCAAAACATCTGTTTTCTGCAAAGAGCAACAGTTCCATAACTAAGAAAAAAAAAAAATCACTGTTTTGGGGAACTAATACTGTAAACTAAATTTTCAAGGCAGCAATAATTTCAGTTCTAAAGATGATCTAGAAAGCACATGAGAATGGCAGTGCTTTCTTATTATCTAGGAACACTCAGTTCTTGCATGAGTTCATCCATAATGTAAAAGCTAAATCTTAAATGAATATATATTTTCTGACATTAGCTATGCCTTCCAATCAATTAATAAAGTAGATTAAGAAGCATACAGTTAGAGTGTCATAATATGAAAGGACCCTTAATGAAATTCTTCCAGAATTTCTATTTCATTTGCCATTTTAATTTCCTAATTAAAAAAATAGGCAGAAAACAAAAAGGGTGGGGGGAGGGCAGTGCCTGGGTGGCTCAGTTGGTTAAGTGTCTGCCTGAGGCTCAGGTCATGATCTGGAGGCCTGGGATTAAGCCCCACATGGAGCTGTGCATCCAGCTCCCTGCTAGGCAGGGAGTCTGCTTCTCCCTTTCCCTCTGCTCCTCCCCAGCTCATGCTCTTGCTCTCTCTCTCCCTCTCTCTCTCTCTCGCTCACTCTCACAAATAAATAAAATCTTTAGAAGAAAATAAGCAAAAAAGTAAAATCCAACCGTCTACTATTTACAAGTGATACCTAAATTTTAACACAGCTGATTTGAAAGTAAAGGAGAAAAGATACTAGGTAAATGACAAGGAAAAGGAAGCAGAGGTGGTAATATTAAAGAGCAGACTGCATAGACTTTAAGTCAATGAGTAGTAAAAAGGGAAAAAAGTTATTTTATATTGATAAAATATCCAGTCCATTTAAATTAGTCATTAGCCATTATATGTATCATATAAAATAGCATGAAAACACATGTTGGCAGTAGTAAGAAGACAGGGAAAGACATCATTATAATGGGAAATTTTAACTATCCCTATGAATTCGACAAATTAAGTATACAAACTAATATGGTTACAGAAAAATTTTAAAAGCACTAACAAGGTTAATTTATATCCTAGAAATAGAAAATACACATTCTTTTCAAATTCCCACAGACTATTTTACAAAATAGACCATATACAAGGCCATAACAAAATCTTTAAAAATTATAAAAAGTAGTCATAGAGATTGCACATTTTAACAATCATAAAACAATAAAACTAAGAAACTTGTAATAAAAGGAGAACCAATTATCAGTATCACCATCATCTAAATGTGTGGAATTATAGTTTTCAAAAAGTTCTATATTTTTCCTTCTCTGAAAAGAAACTCCTTTAAATATGGTGTCTTTCAATAAGGTCATGCTTAGATATCATTATTCTATGAATAACAACCACAATAATTTTGTTTTAAAAAAGGCTAAAATTGCTGGGAGGCTCAAAAAGATTAAGAAACATCATTTTCTTGATTTGTGTTCAATAATCCCCCAGTGGAAATGCTTATTTCCAGCCTTGTATTCATAGGAGCTCATACTTGAACTTATATACTGAAAAAGACACAGGAGCCACATACAAGTTCAAGAAGATAGGGAAAGAAACACCATCCATCAGAACCAAAACTAAGGTTTATATAATAGACACAAAAAGACAAAACCAAGAGAATAAAATACATTTTAGAAAAACAAACTTCTTAGAGACCATTGTATTTTACTTGCATTTCCACCCCTAACATTCCTACTGTTATTCATAAGGGTGTCTACTAGAAAACCAAGACCAACACCATTCATTCACAAACTAAGCAAGCTAATAATTGTTTTATTTCAATTTGTTATAACGGTCAGGAGAAGAACTTGGGCCAAAAAGATACCATGTTATCAAACCAGGGAATGAAAATTTACAGAGATTTCAGATAAAAAAAAAATCAAATAAGCATAAATTTCCTCCAAATAAATACAAATTTCCAATTGTCAATTATAATGGTTGGTAATTTCCAGAATGCCAAAGAAGCCAAATTCAATTTCTCTATATTACTGATGTTTCCCTGTGAATTGGATTGAAGGCCTTATGGTATCCAGCTCCCATTGGACGGTGTTTAAGACCTAAATGCCTCACACTTCATATATCCAGTAAGTCTCTCCATTATAATGTGCCAATATGCTATGCAGTAATTGTAATCTTAATGACAAGTACTTTACATTCAGACATTCAGTCTCTATTAACATTACAAAATTTGAAAGAAGAAAAACCCCTAGGTATTTGCAGTGTGCCAGATACTTTGTATGAGTCATGGCCAGGGCAGTGATCCTGCCATTAGTATAATAAAAAGAGGTATTATCTCTCCCTCCTCTGAACGTCTGTAGGACTTACTGCCCCAATCATTTATTTGGCACAGGTTCTTGAAGTAGTAAACTCTTCACACGCATCTTGTCTGATTTGAGTGAATCCTTCAGGGCAACAGTTTCAACCTCTACTTATTGGGATCTTCCACACAAAACCTTACAGGCAACAGTTGTTTTCTTGAATATTAAACTGACTATTGTTAGCTAACTAAAGAATGCCACCAACATATCTTTCCTTCAACAACATCTCTGGAGCATGATTACTGCTTTATACTCCAGAATGCCCATACTTCCAAATTTTCTGAAAAATGAAAATGAAGCAAACAAAGACAAGGTCTGCTTAAAATAGCTAGATTTAAGGTAAGTGGTATTAGATAAAATGAATAAATTTTCTTTAGAGTAATCCTAACTCTAATCAAAGATCTAAAAAACCTAGTTTATAGCAGAATTGGGAGGGCCCCAACACTGTTTCAAATTCCTGTCCCTGGATTAGAAAATAAAAGCAATGACAACAAAGCTTTACCATCTGTCTCCAAACATTCTTCCTCTCTGCTCTAGACCTTCTTATACTCAGTGAGTGGTCACCTCTACACCTTCCAAAAGGTTCCCATGGCTCGTGGTCTTCAGCAATAACATTGTCTAATGATTCTCTAACATGAATCAAAATATCCTTAAGGACTTGTTAAACACAAATTGCTGGGCTCTACCCCTAGAGTTTCGTATTCAGTACGTCTAGTGGGGACCCACATTATTTGCATTTCTAACCAGTTTCAGGTGATGGTGATGCTACTCAACCAGAGACCATACTTCAAGAAACTATATTATATGCTCAAATCTTCCCCCATTTCTGAAATGTTTATTGTGTCTGACTAAATTACTCAAATCAATTTTAAAGTTTAATTCTTCTTTTAGATGAAGGTTGATTTCTTTACCTATTATTCTAAATAGGTGTTGGCCATGCGGGCTAAATGGCAAACACCATCTTCATGTGGAACCTTTTAGTATAGTATTAAATGTTTTTGGACAAAGAGTGACTCCCTAACTTTTCCAGCTCCAAAATGCCAACAGCCATTTGGACCCGGTGATCATCTCTATAGGAAAGCGCCAAACTAGTTATTCAGCCTACATTATCTTAATTTAGCGTTACAGGGATGCACATATTACTCCCTCTGCTGGGAATGTTTTCCCCTTCTCCAGTTAACTTTTCTTCTTTCTTAGCTCAGAGGTGACTTATTCAGGGAACCTTCCTTTTCTTCCCCATGACTAGGTCAAATCCTATTAGGGGTTTTCACAGTCACTGAATCCTCTCCTTCGTAGTTCTTGTCATGGTTGCATTTTTTACATTTGCTTATATAAGTATTTTAACTAATAGCAATTTTCTGCACTGGATTACAAGCTCCAGACCAGACAGGCAAATATTTTTGGACTGGATCACCATTATATTTTCAGCACCTAGCACAATATCAGGGACAAAGAAGATGTTCAAATGAAGGTAGACAAGATCTGAGCTTTTTTTGCCCAAAGAAAGATAAGAAAAAGTATTCCTTTCTTTACTCTGCCTCTTTGTTTTTCAGCCACCTGATACTCAAACAAACAAACAAAAAGCAAGCAAGAAAAAGACAAAAAGACTTACCTTTTCTGAATAATTCTTGGAGACTTTCAGCACTTTGATTTAATACAGCCCATATTTCTTCTTCCTGCAGAGGTCCACCCCGAACCTCCAGGGCCTCAGCTAGTGACACATGCATATTACCTAAGAAACAAAGGTAACAGGTGGGCTACACATCAGCAACTTGTACTGCACGTGCAATAGTGGAAGTTCGACATCCGTGATGAGAGACTGAGGTTCCTGGCTACCTCATTTCTCAATATGGACTTCAATCTAGATATCATCCTACATCTTAAATGCATAGAGGATAAAGGGATTGGAGGGAAAAAACCCTCAAAACAGCGACTTGCCCTAGCCCCATAAGGTCAGCTTCAGAGCCTGAACCGGAAAACAGGTGGTGACTATTTCATGGGAGAAGACAGAGACTTCAAGGTCCCAGGAGGCAGCAAAATGCAGATGATAAAATCAAAACAGCCAGATTGAACAGAAGTCCTTTCAGATTATAGTTCTAGGCTTCATCCTATCCATCCCAGGTAATAAGAGGACAGGAGCTCCTACGGCCATGGTGCATGAAGCTGAAATAAGATGGAACACATTTCTTCCATTCACTAATTGATTTCTCTATCTTTGATATATACAGTATAACTATAAATTTTGTACTGAATGGACTTAACTACTTCTAGACCCAGCTTTGCTGCCAACTTAGCATTTGCCCTTGGAAAAGTCATTTCACCTCTAAACCTCAGTTTTCCATCTGTGACATGGGAATAATAATAATAATAATAATGCCATTTTGGGGTTTATAATGGGGAAAAAGGGTATTCCTGTAAACATCCTTTGTAATCTAACTCTATAAAGGTTGAATTAATAAAAAATCAGAAGGGTGCCTTTGTGGGGACATTTCTGTAGGGTCAAATTTTTCAATGGCATTCAATTAAGTGGGTGATAGAATGACAAATTTTAAGGTTTTCTACTGGGGCACAATAATCCTACTTTCATCGTGAAAGGGGGGAATGCAGTTACTTAATATCATCATATATAAAGTTTCCTACACTGACATTTCTTGAAAAGAAAATTGCTCTTGATCACTAAGATTTCTACCCATTCTAACCAATTTAAGTATAATGTGCATAATGTATATCTCTTGGTAGGCAGAAGCAGATGGGTTTGGAAAAGAAGCTAGAGGGAGTGGAAAATGTTAAATGCTTATTTTCTGTAATTATATCCTTCATTAAATTTTAAACTTAACCTATTAAAAAACAGCTGTTTCAGACAAAAGCTGACTTTGTTTACTCAACTAACGATGATGGCTAATATTTTTTTAAATTTACATTTACGATACTTTAACCCAGACTGAAAAAAAGCAATTCCAGCTACAAATGAGGACAGCCATGTCTTGTTACTTTCCTTTTCAAATGTTTACTATGGCATTTTATGCTTAGTATCTGCCTTAAGGGGTGTGCACTTAAATGTACAGTGTAGTAGTTAAAAGGGAAGATGTAAGATACTGCTTAGAAAAAGCCAAAGGCATTTTTACTTAGCTTGCACAGAACTGATTATTTATTTAGGCACCTCTCCCTCACAAAAAAACTGTTTCTTATGCACTTTATTAAATGATAGTACATTTAAAAAAAAAATAGTGAGATGCATTGCTTTCTAAGAGACATCTGAGTTATTATCTTCTACAGAAAACACGGCATGAAATTTGAAGTTTCAACAGTCGCATCAAGATACTATTAGCAATCAGATACCAACAGGATTTGTGAGAAAGTCTACCCTGTAGCAAATTTCCAAACTAATATGTCTGAGAATACATATAAAGATAAAAAGAGTAGAGAGAAAATTGCATACGAAGAATTTCTTTTAAGATAGCTGTACTGATTTTCATGCCTCCTTCCCAAAACAGGAGGGGTATAGTATAGGAAGGTGCCTTTGTTTGACCTCTAGCTGGTAAAAGAGGCCTCCATGGGACCATTATGAGTGCTTCCCTGATATTAGGGATGCCATAGGGAGGACACCACAGACTGGTACCTGATACTTTAGGAATCTAAAGGTTTCTAAATCTAAAGGCTCTCCCTCTGACACAGAAGCTAAAGAGGAGAGGGCACATGAGATTCAGAGTGATGAAGCATGCTGTATTTGGGATGGGAAGGTGTAAATAAGCAGGCCCACACAGAAGGCCAGCTTGGAGCTAACAAATCCTACCCAGACGATGAAAATGTTACAAAATTTAGGTTGTGGTAATGGTTAAACAACTCCGTGTCTATACTAAAAACCACTGAAGGTACATTTTAAAAGGGTAAATTTTATGATATGTCAATTATATCTCAGGAAAGGTATCTAAAAACAAAACAAAACAAAACAAAAAAACAACCCTACTCAGAGTACCTCTTGAGTTCCCAGAGAACCTCCAGGAGGGGGAAGGTGGGGGAAGGGGAGGAGTGATGAACAGAAAGGATTAAGGGGTAGGAAGAGAAAGAGGAGAAGGAAGAGGAAAAAGAATTCAGTAGGGCTCATAGGAAGAATCATTTTTTTAAAATGTCACAGGAAGTATAGCTCCAGTAAAGGTCTCTGAAGAACACACAAAAGTACACATAAGGGAAAGAGTCAACCTTAAGAACATACCAAGTTCAAAAAGAGTTACAGGTCAGGTAAAAAAAATTGTTTGCCTCTTTACCTTTCTTCCTGCCCCTAGTTTAAATCCTGATGGGATCAGATAAAGCAACTTGCCAGTGGGTGAGGAGATAAGCAACAAAAAGAAGAGTCAAGCACACAGCCTCGTAGCTAGGGGAGGGAATAGTTTTAGCTTTGAATGAAGACTGAAGTGTTGATTAATATACTTACTAGGCACTTTTTTTTAAAAAAGATTTTATTTATTTATTTGAGAGAGAGAGAATGAGAGAGCACATGAGAGGGGGGAGGGTCAGAGGGAGAAGCAGACTCGCCGCCGAGCGGGGAGCCCGATGCGGGACTCGATCCCAGGACTCCAGGATCATGACCTGAGCCAAAGGCAGTTGCTTAACCAACTGAGCCACCCAGGCGCCCACTAGGCACTTTTAATTACAGAATTGACACTGTATTTTCAACTTGAGTGACTGTAGTTATTAGTGACTGTAAGGAGAGAATTATGGACCCGAGTTTTTATTTTTAATTTTTATTATTTATTTTGAGAGAGAGAGAGTGTGGGAAGGGGGCAGAGGGAGAGGGGAGAGAGAGAATCTTAAGCTAGAGTCATGCCCAGTGCAGAGCCCGATGCCGGGGCTTGATCTCACCACCCTGAGATCATGACCTGAGCCAAATTAAGTGTCAGGCACTTATAACTGACTCGGACACCTAGGTGCCCCAGACCTGAATTTTTTATAAAGAGGCAACAGAAGAACTTCTCTCATGGAAGGAAGGAAGGAAGGTGATGGACAAAATAAGTTGCTTATGATTATACCTTATGCATTGTAAAGAAAATGATCTGTATCACACACACAAAGTTTTAAATCTTAAGATACAGATTTTTACTTATTTTTAAAGAAATAGGTTTTTAAAATATAATTATTTTCTATAAGAAAATGAAAAAGTAAAAGTAACTTACAACAGAATTTTTTCAGTGTTTGACTTTTCTATCTATAAAGATTACTAATTATACTTCTGTTGCTTGACTCCATCAGGCTGAATTATATTTTATTAATCCTCTTAATTTTTATTAAAAAGTTTTTGTCCATTCACTGTAGTAGGATCTCTACGCATCTCTGGTTGGAACTTGTTAGAACTCCAAAACCTAGAAAACATTGTTTTCTAAAGCAATATTATCTAGCTAACAGAATAGATTTGATATTTATAATTTATAATTTGCTAGAAAAAGACTTTAAGATTTTTAAAAACTGCATCACCCTTCTAATCGCCCAATCTCAAAACTTAATGTAATGTTAAAGCAGCTTTCTAAATATCAAACAACACTATACCTTCTAAATTGTCTATCACCATGTTTGGCAACTGCTTACCATCATCATCATTTTTTTCTGTTACTTTTATTCACCTTTACTATAGTTTTCCAGATCATTAGTTCTGAAAGGAAAGAGAAGACAAAGAAATGAAAGAAATGCATAAGTATAAGGATGAAAAAAAAGTGGAGAAAAAGAAGCTTGAAGTCAACCAACAGATAAGGGAAACAATTTGTCATGAAAATTCTTTTTTTTTTTTTTTTAAATTAGAGAGAGAGAGAGAGCGCGCGCACACAAGCAGGGGAAGCAGCAGAGGGAGAGGAAGAAGCAGGTTCCCCAATGTGGGGCTTAATCCCATGACCCTGGGATCATGACCTAAGCTGAAGGCAGATGCTTAACTGACTGAACCACCAAGGCGCCTCTGTCATGAAAATTCTTAAAAGTGTATTACTTCAGTTGTTTTCTTTAGGCACAGTACTAGATAACCTGGGGTACAGATGTATGACTGGAATTATTTTACTATCAAAGAGGTTCTGCTCTACAGTAAACTTAACTGTATTCTTCACTTTTGTTTCCTTGAGTGTTGTTGGTTACATAAATAAGTTTAAGGGAAGACTTTCAAATAAGAAAAATTAATTATATTACATAACCAGAATCATTACTGTGTTTTTGGTTAACACAAGTATTAACTATCATGACCTTAAAACTGTGCCCAGTCAGACAAAGCCACAAAAGGATTCTAACAGATGTCATCTTAATCCTGAGGGATTTGTGTCACTCACAAATAGGAAGCACAGAAAAGTGATTCCAAAAAGAATGAAATAGTAAACAGATTAACTGAATCCAATCAAGTCATGTAATAACCTGTCTGGGGGTAGACTAATGAATTAGGTGTGTTTAAGTTGATTCTAAGGAAATAGGGCTGTAAGACTACCCTGTTTTAGAACAAAGCAACTACAGAATAGAGCTCAGTGTGTGCCACTAATTTTGGGCAAAGAGCCACTCACCATCCTGGCTAAGGACATCTTTGGTCATTAAGAAACCATGAGTTGAGAAAGCAACCTCCAAAACTGTAAGTTATCTTTTAACCCAAAAAGAGTCACAATGAAGTTTATAAAAAGTTTAAGAGAAGCAAGCTCATATATTAGTTATTTTTGAAAATTAAAGAATCTGTCGGGTGCTTGGGTGGCTCAGTTGGCTAAGCATCTGACT